CTTTTAAGGAAACATTGAAGTACTTTTTTTGGTTCTTATGTATTCCAATTAATGACCCATAATCTGAAATCATATGTGTTCATTTTTACAATAACATTTAAGGAAGGAGAACACTCAATGAAATGAATATATAATCAATGAAGAATCAATATGGACCTATGGTAAAATTTACAGATTGAATTAGTTAAATGCAAATGCTTGATAAAGAATGTTCTTTTCATGCACATTCTGTATCTCTTTTTTATTAATTAGAAAATGAGACATTAATAAAAATCAAACTTCATTTACAGAAGGTAACTTGAACAGTTAAATACATGTTCCAATGTTACAAATATTAGGCCTAAAAAAGCAAGGATTTTATTTTTCATAATTTCTTGGAAGACTGCTTTTTTTTTGGCAATGTTGGGATATTAGTCACATCCTGACACCCTCGTACCGTTTTTTCATCGCTTTCAAATCCGTAGTCAGTAGATCATTCATAACTTTCAGTTATTATAATGTATTCGCGGTAATAAAAGACAAATACATAAAATGAATAGTTAAATAATTACCTGATGAAAATACTATCAACAAGCAAACTGTCAACATGATCATTGGACATGGTCAAATGTACCGTGACTTTTCTTCCCTACTTGGACTGCGTAACACTTTACAGGATACTCTCGGGTCTTTTCCTTTTTCTTTCCCATCGTCACTTAAAATTTTAGTTTAGTGGTGAAACTAGAAACACACAATGCATGTTTGACCATATTATTTACGGAACCTGACTATAGTTTATTTCACAAGGGACTTTTCGTCTGTGAACTTTAGGGAAATTAGCTTGATAGGATAGCAACTCGCTTTTTCTAATGTAATGCTAAATTGGCAAAAAGAAACAATTCCGATCAAAGTTGAATGATGTTTGTTGTAGAGTCAGAAGATAGAAAGTGAATTTGCTAAATTCACAATCTATCCCGGACTCTACTTCGGAATTGAACTCTTGACCAATCAGGATGCTTGTTACAAAAATTATAACAGGTAAAGCGGCAATTTCCTTTGATAGGCTTGACACTGATTACTTGCATTATCAAAGAGCCGAAAGGTGATGAAGTCAATTAGCTTAATTTCCGTTCTGATTTTTTTTTTTACAATAGGAAGATTAGGTGAAGCGATTTCGGAAAGAGTATATTTTTCTGTGAAAAAGAAATAAAAGTTTAAATATTTTGAAGAAAACTAAATAAAATATAGTGAATTTGAAGTTAAGAAAAAAAAGGAATTATTTTCATAAAAATTAAAACAAATTCAAAATGTCAAATCGCAATGAATTGAAATTCATATAATACAACCTGTTACATTAAAGTTTTAGAATTCAGAGAATTTAAAACTAACTATAACAATCTCCCCCCTTGCAAATTCTCTGAATTCTAAAACTTTAATGTAACATTTGCACATATCCTGAATATATTTTGTACTACAACATGAAGCGGTCGCCCTTCCATAGGCCAAACAGGCGCAGGCTGGTCGCAGCATTACTTGTCGGAGAATGAAGGGGGTTTGACAACTGATTACATGTACTTACTACTTAGCTGCAGAACTGTAGCTCTCTGCTTGAGAAAATTCGGACAGATAAAGTCTCTGCTTTATCTGTCCGAATTTTCTCAAGCAGAGAGCTACAGTTCTGCAGCTACTTACTACTTAGAAAGCTAGCTCACGTATTAGCCCCAAATGCATTTTTAATTCCTCTTCTGTAATACATATTCTTATAAATATTTGTTTTTATATTCTCATTGATCTTTGTTTTAAAAAGGTCTGTTCACTGCTTTTGCGAAGTTAAATAAACCCAAGATGCATTAGGGCGGGGCTATATACTGATAATTTCGTCTCTTTCGACTAATTGATTGTATGTTGTTAAACGTCCGTCTCGAGAATTTTTCACTCATTTGGAAACCCGAACACTTGCCGGTGGAGAGCTGCAAATTTTTGTCCTGTGCTCGGCCATTGAGCGGCAAGGGATCTTTGTTTTGTGCCAGCAGTAGCCAAGTACCTACTGCAACACGGGACCTCGGTTTATACGGTCTCATTCGAAGGACCAGTCTCCACAGTGGGATTTGAAACCACGACGTCTTACATCGCGACTCTAGAGCAGATGCTCCAACCACTGCGACACATGGGCGACTCGTTTCCTTTAATCGAAGAACTCGGAAGTGACGTTAGTTAATTATTACGTTCAGTTACTATGACGTCATAAACACATTTGTCAACAGTGTTGAAACAATCAACAGTACACTACAAGAAGTACGATGGGTAAGTGTTTGCAAAATTAATAAGCAGCAAATTTTTGACTTCACTCCGAATGTAATTTACATAATTTATAGTGATGCCGTTGTGGGAAATAACGGGAAGAAAGATAATCATTGTACATATATTTATGGAATGAGAATTATCGAATATAAACAAATGTTGTTTTTAAAAGAGAATTTTTAATTTTCATTTTTACTTTGTACATGTACTTTATTAGCAGAAATTTTGTATGCATTAAATATAAAGGTATTTTTTTATGTGCTTGATGTTTTACATACTGCCTTCCTAACATCCTATTCATCAATAAAAGTATGCCTCAAGAAAAGTAGTCATAATGCATATATATGATGGCGGGTCCAGACATAACGCTTATATTACATGTACAATGTAATACCAAAATTGAATCCTCGCTTAACTTTACAGACAGGTTATACCCTGCTAATAAAATGTCAAAACGGAAGTTCTATCTCATTTGTTATGTCAAAAGTAAAAATGCCCATGGGGCACAGTGTAAATTAATGTTCATAAATCGGGCAAATTAACGTCTTTGATTATGTGTTATTTTCTTTCAGATGACTGCTTCATTTACGTGGGACCCAGTATATCTGGAGGTATGTCTGACGAAAGTTTTTGCATATGATACTGTTTACATAGTATAGCTGTGTTGCAACCACTATTGAAATACGACCACTATTGAAATAATTATATCAATAGTGGTTGAGAGTGTATTTCAGTAGAAAACATAGTTAGTAACCACTATTGAAATAAAACCACTATCGAAATAATTATATCAATAGTGGTTGCGAGTGCATTTCAATAACAAACATAGCTAGTAACCACTATTGAAATACGACACTATTGAAATAAGTATTTCAATAGTGGGTGAGAGTGCGTTTCAATATAATAACCATAGGTTTCAACCACTACTGAAAAACGAGCACTACTGAAATAATATTTCATAGTAGGTGAGAGTGCATTTCAATATAGTAACCATAGGTTTCAACCACTATTGAAATATTACAAGAATTGAAGAAAAAAAGTTTCACCACGTCAGCAACTTTTGAAATAATTATTTCAATATAAATTGAATTCATTGTTCAATGCACTATTGAAATCAATAATTTAATCCAAATTGAAATCTTTATTTCAAAAGTGAACATTATATTTCAATAGTGGTTACAATCTATGTTTGTTATTGAAATGCACTCTCACCCACTATTGAAATACTTATTTCAATAGTGGTCGTATTTCAATAATGGTTATTATCTATATTTGTTATTGAAATGCACTCTCAACCACTATTGATATAATTATTTCAATAGTGGTTGTATTTCAATAGTGGTTACTAACTATGTTTGTTATTGAAATGCACTCTCAACCACTATTGATATAATTATTTCAATAGTGGTTGTCTTTCAATAGTGGTTACTAACTATGTTTGTTATTGAAATGCACTCTCAACCACTATTGATATAATCATTTCAATAGTGGTCGTTATTTCAATAGTGGTTGCAACATAGCTGTGCTCTTGCCTGTAGATTATAGAAATATGTAACATACATATACATTTCGATCGACACCTTGATTCAAAACTTCAGTAACACTTAGGTTTCAGTACGTCATCTCGATAATGCACCATTTCCATGAAATTTGGCATAACTATATATGTATCGATATCTTTACTTTTTTTTATCAGGTATTCATTTGGAGGTTAAAGGTCAAATGATTTCTTTAAATATCTGGGACAACCGAAATAAAAAGAAACAAAAAGTCATAAGTCAACATAAAATGGCTTCCAAATGATTTTGAAAAGGTCTATTCTGGCACGTAGCAACAGGGATGGGGAGGGGGGCAGGGGGGCTTGCAAATATTACTTTTACTATTGGAATAGTTCGTTGAAAGGCTGGTTGCCCCCCCCCCCCCCCCCCCACTTGATACTAAAGGAAAGTGATAATAGGGAAATGTAATAATGAATATAAAAAAAATTGTTACTGAAAGTAGTTGGCATTGAAAAAAGTTGGCCTCTACCACCCCCCCCCCCCCCCCCCCCACACACACACACACGAAGAAGGATTTTGAAGTTTGGGCAATTTTTATTTTTTTTTGCTTGTCAACATTTTTTAGGTAAGTCGAAAAAAAAATTTCTCGGACTGCCCCTCCCCCACTTTCAAAAACGATGCTATGTGGCTGCTATTATTGATGAGTCAAAGTCATAAATGTATGAATTTCTTTAGCTTCAGAACTAGCTCTCCGAAAAAAAAATTGACAGTTCGGAGTTTGTTTTATTTATTGATATCGCCAGCTTACAGAAATAAAACACCAAAGGGGGGTTGGGGAGGGTTTGGAGAACATTTGTAACGGTCCCCGTTTCAATTAGCCCTAAGTTATATTCTAAGATGACTTTTTTCAGAATTATCACTGATTCACATTCATTTATTTTCTAATTTATCGAAAGTTGCTTAAATCCTTTTACATGTTCTTCCAATACATGCTAGGTCTTTCCCAAAATGAAACTTTATTCTCGTCTTATATGACACAAAAGAAATGAATTTGCTTCCATAATGTTAATATCAGAATATCGTTTGATTCTGTTAAAAGCTTGTGTATTTAGTGTATTTCACAAATTAAGAATTTTCAATTGTCAGTGATTGTAGTAACTAATTATAATAACTTTATTGTTGAAGGTTTCCTGGAAGGGGACTGTGGCTGTCACAGCAACTGTCAGAACAACTTAACTGAATTGAAATCTCGTGGCAGAGTTCTTAATGAAGTGTATAAAAAGCTATTTAGAGAAATAGATGATAAAGCAAGAAGTGGTGCAGATGAAACACTAATAATGAAAGTAAGACCCAAGGCTTTTGATTTGTATTTCTTATAATAAAATATGCGCCAATATCTTCCATACTTTTTGCATAATCACAAAAATGCACATCAATTTCCTTAACTAGTTTACTTAATAAAATGCCTTTTTAGTCATTTGAGTACACTCAAGTGACCTATTTCTATCCGTTTTCATCCGTCATCATGCGTTGTGTGTTGTGCATTAACATTTGAACATTTTCAGCTTCTTTTGTGCAACCACTCAACCAATTTCAACCAAATTTGGCGTATAGCATCTATGGGTGAAGGGGAACAAAAATTGTCCCCTTGGTGCCTGAGGGGTGGGGCCAAAACCACTAAAATTAATGCAATATTTAAAAATCTTCTTCTTCACTCCTGGACATCATGCAGCCAAACTGTTTGCATGATTGTAATCAGCATTGAGTCCTTTACCAAAATTGTGCAATTCATGGCCCTGGGATCAGGGGTTCTAGGGTGGGGCTAAATATATTATATAGTGAAAATGCATTATTTCTTTGAAAATCTTCTTCTCTGCTCCTGGCCATTAAATAAACTAAACAAGTAAATAGTTATGTTAAAAAGGCTACCCCTTCCAAAGTGTGAATTTCATGGCAACAGGGTCAGTGGTTCTTAGGTGCTAGGGTGGGGCTATATAGATTATATAGGAAAATGCATTATTTCTTTGAAAATCTTCTTTTTTGCTCCTGGGTATTTATTAAACAAACCAAATACATAGTTATGTTGAATAAGGTTGCCTCTTTCAGATTTGTGAATTTCATGGCCCCAGGGTCAGGGGTTCTAGTGGTAGGGTGGGGCTCTATTGATTATGTAGTGAAAATACATTTATTCCTTAAAAAATCTTCTTCTCTGCTCATGGGTATTAAACCAGTGAACTATGTACATAGTTATGATGAGAAATGATGCCTCTTTCAGATTTGTGAATTCGAGCCCCAGGGTCAGGGGTTCTGCTGTTAGAATGGGGTTCTAATGATTATATAGTGAAAATGCTTGAATTCTTTTAAAAAAAATTCCGGTGGGGTTGGGTGGGTACTTAGTCTGAAAATAAATCATTGCTTTGTAATTTGCTTTTTGTATTAATCAACCACTTATGATGAAAAAAAAAATTAGGATAAAATTTCCAGAATTTTGAAATATGTGTATAGTTCTGATAAGCAATAGTGCCTCTTTCAAAATTTTGAATTTCATGGCCTTTGATTTAAAACACAAACCAATTCAATTGTTGGAAAGTTGTTTCATGATACTCAGGTGACCTATAAGGCCCCTGGGCCCCTCGTTATTATTTTTACTTCATAATCAAACAGGTGTACCGTGTTAATTTTATTATGCATAGTGAAATATTCTAGATTTCTAGTAGGAAGTCCATTTAAATACCTTCTGTGTTACTAAAAAGGGTGATTTATTAATACAAGATTTTATTCACAAAGTGAATGGGATTCAGGGCAGCAGGCAAAGCCTAGCTACTTTAGCCCTCTCCCTACCACAAGGACAAGGTAAACACACACTTTACAGGTATGATACTAAATAAACAAAAAGAAACAAGACAGAGGCCCATGGGCCACATCGCTCACCTGAGAAGCTTTGACCACTCTGTTCTTTACCAGATTTCCCCCTTGTTATACATCCCCACCCTACCCCACTGATCATAATTTAGACATTTTGAAATCTACACTACCCCATGATCCTTCCATGGGCACATATGTTTCAGCTTTATTGGCCCAGTGGTTCCTGAGAAGAAGATTTTCAAAGATTTTTCCTATATATTTCTATGTAAAACTTTGATTCCCCTATAATGGCTCCGCCCTTCCCCCGGGGGTCATGATTCCTACAATTTAGAATTTACACTACCCCAGAATGCTTCCACATAAGCTTCACTTTTTCTGGCCAAGTGGTTCTTGAGAAGAAGATTTTCAAAGATTTTTCCTATATATTTCCATGTGAAACTTGGATTCCCCATTGTGGCCCCGCCCTTCTCCCGGGGGTCATGATGTGAACAATTTAGAATCTACACTATACCAGGATGCTTCCACATAAGTTTCAGCTTTTCTGGCCAAGTGGTTCCTGAGAAGAAGATTTTCAAAGATTTTTCCTAGTATATATTTCTATGTAAAACTTTGATACCCCATTGTGGCCCCGCCCTTCCCCCGGGGGTCATGATTCCTACAATTTAGAATTTACACTACCCCATAATGCTTCCACATAAGGTTCACTTTTTCTGGCCCAGTGGTTCTAGAGAAGAAGATTTTCAAAGATTTTTCCTATATATTTCTTTATAAAACTTTGATTCCCCATTGTGGCCCCGCCCTTCCCCCGGGGGTCATTATTTGAACAATTTAGAATCTACATTATACCAGGATGCTTCCACATAAGTTTCAGCTTTTCTGGCCCAGTGGTTCTTGAGTAGAAGATTTTCAAAGATTTTTCCTATATATTTCTATATAAAAGTTTGATTCCCCATTGTGGCCCCACCCTTCCCCCGGGGGTCATGATTTGAACAATTTAGAATCTACATTATACCAGGATGCTTCCACATAAGTTTCAGCTTTTCTGGCCCAGTGGTTCTTGAGAAGAAGATTTTCAAAGATTTTTCCTATATATTTCTATGTAAAACTTGGATTCCCCATTGTGGCCCCGCCCTTCTCCCAGGGGTCATGATGTGAACAATTTAGAATCTACACTATACCAGGATGCTTCCACATAAGTTTCAGCTTTTCTGGCCCAGTGGTTCTTGAGAAGAAGATTTTCAAAGATTTTTCATATATATTTCTATATAAAAATTTGATCCCCCATTGTGGCCCCACCCTCCCCCCTGGGGTCATGATTTGAACAATTTAGAATCTACACTACCCCAGGATGCTTCCACATAAGTTTCAGCTTTACTGGCCCAGTGGTTCTTGAGAAGAAGATTTTTTAATGACCCACATTTTTTTCTTTATTATCTCCCCTTGCGAGGGGATATGTCCCTTCATTTTAACAATTTAAATTCCCCTTCACCCAAGGATGCTTTGTACCAAGTTTGGTCAAAATTTACCGACGGACAGACAGACAGACGGACGGACGACGGACAAAATGTGATCAGAAAAGCTCACTTGAGCCTTCGGCTCAGGTGAGCTAAAAAGGTAGAAAAATTACAATGTACCCAGTAGTACTGTATTGGAAAGTTGACAGAAGTTGCTTACATGACAGTGTTAAATAAAATGTTTGGTTGCATGCTGCTATGTAAACTTGTACTGCTTCAAATGTTTGAAAATTTCAAATATATAATAATCCAAGTTCATGAATCTGATCACAATCAATATTATTGTGTATTGTTTGGAAAAGTAAATTTCTGGGAGATGTGTAGTTAAAACATGCAAGCAAAGAAGTTATATGACGCGAGTCATGCTGAATTTACCAAAAGAAATAAAGACCTTATTAATTGTAAAGTTGCTTCTATTAATGCCAGTTTCATGATCAAAAATAATTTCATGATAAAGAATTCAGATCACAAATGATTTGTTACAGGATCGAGTTCAGCTTCTGGAGAGATATGGCAAAGACCTTAAAGAACAGAACAGGTTACTTTTATGGACACTGGAACAGACTCAGCAAGAAATGATGGAGAGCAAGGTGGAGTATAAAACATAAAATCAATACTTTAAATTCCTAAATATACATGAGGATTTAATTATCGCGTAATTGCACAAGAAGCGCCATTCGCAAAAGAAAGTTAATCACTTATATTTTCATGGTGCTAAAGTACATGTAAAAATTCCTTTAATTTAACGCCCACTTGCGAATTATTTTTCTCGCGATCTGCTGTCTATTAGCAATTTCGCGATATTTTTATCTGCGTAAAAATAAGGAATGTACAGCATTGGATTATTAAACTAGATGCTGTCATGAGACAGTAATACCCGCACTAAGGTGTTTGCCTCTAAATACACACTGACTCGTATATATTGGGCTTTCCAAGGAAAAGTCAAAATAATTCTATAATTTACACAGTACATGTATTCGTCACATTGAGTATTACATTCTCAGACCCTGTGACTATGTGATCTATGACTCAGAGCCTCAGGGGCTTATTGAAAGTTGGGGGGGGGGGGGGGGCTAAACCAACAAAAAAGTTAAAACCAAATTTTTAATTCCTTTATTTTCTATATTTGCAAAACGTGGGTGGGGTATTACGCCCCCCCCCCCCCCCCGGTTCAGACGCCTACATGTATGTGTGAATTAGATTTTAAAAAATGTTTTGGTCATAATTGATACCTTTTTAAAGTTAATAATGCCTCCCCCCCCCCCCCAAAGAAAAAAAAAAAAAACCACACACACACAATCACACCCTCACGAAACGTACTTTTTTTAAATAGGATACACATGTAGATGGAAAAGTTATGTTAAAATATAGTTTGTTATGAATTAATTTAAAATTTGTTCCTGAACTCTATACATGTTTACATGTAAACACTTTTTGGAGAATTTGTACATTATATTTGGTTGCGTCATCTAATATCATATTTTTAGATTAAGAACCACTCGGCACACCTCGGCCGATTCGTACGTCATCTGATTTAGGCAACGGAATCAGCCAAGGTTTGTCGAATAGGATAACATGCACATGCTGCAGTGTGATGTGTATTGAAAAAATCATTCTGTGTTTTAATTGGATTATATTTCATGAAGTTGACATGGCCTATGACAGTCGGTAAGTACAAGTTTAAGTATAGATTGGGGTAAAATAAACCAAAATGCAAAAGATTAGGTTAAAGTTCAAAGATCATAGCATGCCACAGTTTTCAATTTGACATTGTGAAGTTATCTTCCATTGTCGATATGACATTCAGTTACTGGTGCAGATCCAGATTTTTTTCAGGTGGGGGGTTCACACCTCAGTCAAAAAAATGCCAGCCCAGAATTTTCTCACAAGCAAAGAACAAAAAAATTAAAACAAAATAAAAACAATGATAGTGGGGTTGTGTTGTCAATGTTTTTTATGATGTCCAAAGTCATGTTTTATTTGCATATATCAGTATAAAGTCTTATATAAATGATATGATTTGTGATGATTTTGGACACTGTTCTGTATGCTCCACTGTGGACTTGATACCGCGATTACTTAATTTAGCGGAACTCTTTCGCAATGGAGGTAGGAAACGTCTGTTGGCTGGGGACAAATGTGCTATTGAATACAATGCAAGATTGATCGTTGTAGAATTTATAAGGACAGATAAGTAAAAAATCCTGGTGGAATACCTTGCTTAACAATCGCTGAACCCGCGTAATTAATTTTTGAGATGAACTAATCCTAAAATGTTACATTTTTAACGATATTTTTAACGAAGCGGGCTCTTCTCATTCAATTTTCATTGAAAATCGTTGCATTTTAAAGCTGATAAAATAATCTAAACTTTCCTTATTTGACAATCTACTATTTGGAATTCAACTCTTGGCAATACATTGTACTTTAGGCATAAAATTGTTCAAATCATTCGATTGTCACTACTGTAAACAATGCCATGTGCCCCAGTAATCTCGTGAGATTTGAGCTTTCTCGACTCCCCCGCAAAAGAACGGTAGTAAGTTAGATAACTGCGAGGTAATCGCGATATTACGTAATGGTTGAATAAATAACAAAACAAAACAAACTCCAGGGGGGGGGGGGGGGGTTCCAATCTCCCTAGCCACTCCCTGTCCCCGTGACTCCAAAATAGAATTTTTTTCCATTTGACTATATATACATATTTTGTTTCTTGTGTTTATAAATAATGTCTGTCTGTCTGCATAAATTTGATGAGTAATTTGGCTTAAATTTTGATCAGTAGGTGCCAGGGCTTTCATGCTTAACATGTGTATTCATTGTGAACTTTCACAGGTATAAATATTTTTGACCTCCAGGCCCTAGAGTTTGACCCACTTAAAAAAAACTTTAACTTTGGCAATTAACTTTTGAACAGGAAGAACAAGGGATTTCTTTATATTTCACATGTGTATTCCTTGTGACAAGACTTTCTTTCGATACCAACAATTTTAACCCTTTGACCTTGACCTATAAGTTTGACATACATTTGAGAAACTTCAACCCTTCACCATAAGCTGCCATACGTGGGCATCAGTGTTTTAAACAAACACATCTTGTCTTCATTATTTTTCTGCTTCTGCTTCTGCCAGGGATTGCCCAGTCATTATCAACTAGCTGATTATTATGGCATGTTTGTGGTGCGCATGAAGTTTCCAAAAATAAAAATTTAAAAGGTTAAAAGGTTAAAATAGTAATCATAATTAAAGGCAGATAGGTGGTCACCTGAGACCTAAAGGTCTCAAGTGTTTTTGCCGTGACTATATCTGGTGGTAGGTGGTTCCACTCTTTGATGGTACGAGGGAAATATGAGAATTTTCTATAGTCACTTTTGCAAGATGGTATTTGGTAGGCCTCTTGGTGGGTATGTCTTGATCGACGTTGTGGTGGAATAAGTCGGTCATGCTTGGTGATGGCAACTTTGTCGTGGACAATATTGTAGAATAGTATAAGTCTGGAGATTCGCCTACGCTCTTCTAGTGTCTGCCATTGTAGATGTTGTATCAATTGCTGTCCACACTTGATCTGTTACCGTGCCTGTTGCTTACGTAACGTGCAGCACGTCGTTGGACCATCTCCAGGTTATGGATATCCTTTTGGGTGTAGGGGTCCCAGACAGGTGCTGCATACTCCAACTGTGGTCTAACTAGTGGTTTGTATGCATTCTCCTTTATGGATGTAGAGCTGATGTTTAAATTTCGGCGGAGAAATCCTAAGGTCTTGTTTCCTTTGCTGCAGATGTTACTAATATGATCACTCCATTTCAAGTCTGATGTTATAAGACAGCCGAGGTATTTCGCTCTCTTTACATGTTCGAGATTGTGGCCATGTAGCAAGTATTGGTGATGTATTAGGTTTGGCTTCCTGCTGACTGATAATACATTGCACTTATCAGGATGGATTTTCCATTTTCCACCTCCTTTCCCAAATGCCCAGTTTATCAATGTCTGCTTGGAGTGTCTGGGTATCCAGTTCAGACATGAAAGTAAGGTATACGATAGTATCATGAGCAAAAAGCCTTACTGTGGCATTGAGGCCTTCTGGCATGTCGTTTATATAGAACAGGAATAGGCACGGCCCAAGGACTGACCCTTGGGGCACTCCAGAGTCAACACTGACATAGCTGGACATTTCTCCATCGACTACTACAGCTTGTGTTCTGTTGGACAGGAAGCTAGCAATCCAGTTTTTTACATTTTCCAGGATCCCATAATGTCGGAGCTTATGGATGAGGAGGCTATGGTTAACCTTGTCAAAAGCCTTGGAAAAATCCATGATCAGTGCATCTGTCTGCTTTCCGGCAGCCATGTGATTGGTTATGTCAACTATAAACTCAATGAGTTGAGATCCACAGGATCTTTTGCTACGGAAACCATGCTGAAGTGGGTAAAGTATGTTGTTGGTATCAGCGTGATGCATAATATGGCTGGTGATGATATGCTCCATGAGCTTGCAGCAGATACATGTGAGGGAGATGGGTCGATAATTCTCAGCCTTGTATCTATCCCCTTTTTTGAAAACCGGGCTTACATGCGTTTTACGCCACTCCGATGGTATCTCTCCACTTTGTAACGATTTCATAAAGATGATGGTGAGAATAGGGGTTACGCTGACAGCCAGCTCCTTCAGTACTCTTGGTTTAATCCCATCTGGGCCCGCTGCTTTATATGGATTCAGATTTTTCAATAGTCTTAGAATTCCATTATGGGTGATGTGGAGTTCTGGTGCAACTGGGTATTTTCCACTCATAGGACAGTCACGAGTAAATTCTTCAGTACTGATATGTGTCTTCTCTGAGAATACAGACTGGAACTGCTTATTCAGCACATCTGCCTGGTCGGTCGGATTGCCATGTAGCACTCCTTCACTGCGGATTAGTGAGATTCCATTGTTGTCGGTTCTTTGGTGTTTTATGTAAGTCCAGAAGCGCTTTAGGCCACTATATTGGTCGTCCTCTACTTTAGGTGTTACTATTCCCTCGATATAGTTCCAGTATGCTCTTCTTAATTCTCTTTGTACATTCCCCTTAATTTCTTTGAAGTGTTCTTTATCTCTGTTGTCTCCAGATTTCTTCTTCTTTTTGTACAATCTGTTTCTCTTATGGATGAGTTTCTTGAGGTCTGCTGTTATCCATGGTAGGCCATCTTTGGCTCTGGCATCCTTGTGTGGTATGTTTTGCTTTATGCTGTTATCCAAGTATTTTAAGTGGCGGTGTCTTCATATGAGGGAAAAATTTCTGAGAGAGATGTTTTCACAGCAAACAAACGAGTTAAAATTACTAAAAATAACAAAACATGAACATGTTGGTTGTATCTCTCTCTCTCCCTTGAATCAGAAATGATTACATAAATATTTTAAAAACAATTATTATAAGATTTGAAAAGGTTGTGCATCTTAAAATTGACTACCTGGTAAGTTCTGTGGTTGAATTAGCTATAAAAGTTTACTAGCTTTATTTTGCTACTCAAAATTAACACCTTGATCAACTATTTTCAAACATACTGTTTTCTGAAATGTTCAGTTTTTTCGACAATGGATACATATGTCATAGATTTTCAGCTTCTCAAAAAATTGCATGAAAAAAAAGCTTTTCAAATACTGTAATCATGGTAACCCTTTCAAAATACTTGTGAATCCTACATTTTTAGCTCATTTGAGCTTTTCTGGTTTCCTTATCACATTACTTCTGTCATCCATCTGTTTGCCTGGAAACTTTTTACATTTTTAACTTCTCTAAAACCACTGGGCCAATTTTAACCAATTCACATAGAAATCATTATATATGTACATGACTGTATGTCAGTCTGTCAATTTAACCTTGGTCAACACAGTCATATCTATTGAATGAGAAGAGACAAAGCATTTGTATTAAACATATATATTAGTATTTACCTGTGACAATGGCATGATTTTTTTTTACCCATGACCTTGAAGTTTGACCTAATTGCCGAAAAATTGCATTGTTTTAAATTTATCATTTTGAAAGAATTCATATTATACATGCATGTGTATTATTACCAGTATGATAAGACCTTTCTAAATAAATCATGAACCTTGAAGCTTAACCTACTTTTCAAAATGTTGCATTAAAATTTGCTTATAACTTTTCATTGAGAAGAGATATGACTTTCACATTTGACATGTACATTACTCGTAAGAATTCAAGATGTTTCCCAGCATGCTATGATTTTTACCCTACGATGTTGATGTTTTACCTATTTTCAAAATATTTAACTCTTTTAAAAGATGATCAGGCTACTGAGTAAAATGTAGAAGGAATTCAGGGAAGACGTGGCTTTTTGCATAAAAAACATCATTTTTTGACCCCCATTTAATCCCCTGAGGCAAAATCAAAATTCCAAAACATTACTGCACATCTACGTGACACCACCAAACATCTCCCAAAAGATGATTAGGCTGCTGAGTAAAATGTAGAAGGAGTTCAGGAAAGATGGGGCGTTTTGCATAAAAAATGTCATTTTTCGACCCCCATTTGACCCCCCGGGGCAAAATCAAAATTCCAAAACCTTACTGCACATCTACATGACACCACCAACCATCTCCCAAAAGATGATAAGGCTGCCGAGTAAAATGTAGAAGGAGTTCAGGAAAGACGGGGCTTTTTGCATAAAAAACGTCATTTTTCGACCCCCATTTGACCCCCCGGGGCAAAATCAAAATTCCGAAACCTTACTGCACATCTACATGACACCACCAACCATCTTCCAAAAGATGATTAAGCTACTGTGTAAAATGTAGGAGGAGTTCAGGGAAGAAAAGTGTGACGGACGGATGGACGGACAGACGGACGATGGACATGAGTAACAACAATATACCCGAACTTTCTTTAGAAAGTGCGGGTATAATAAACAACTCCTCTTTTTACTTTGATAAGCACTTTCTCTTTATTATTGGATGTGGATTATAAAAATTTTTTTCTAAATCTAAAAGGCATTATTTTCTCATTATTGTCTCTATGATAAAATGCTGACGTATTTATATGTACACCAATTTCTTTCATCTCTTCTACAATAGAAAAAAAGACACAACCACATTGAATGTTTGGAGAACCAGTTACATGAGTGCACTAGCAAGGTAAAGCATTGGTAATGTTTGTTTGTTGAATGACTCCCTTCAAATTTTTTTTTTCAATCAAATCGAGACACCACTACTAGCCAGTGGAGGGCTGGAAATTTAGACCCAATTGCTTGTTGTTATTTATATTTGAGCACGACAAATCTTTTGTGCCATCATCTATTCTATTTATATGCATTGTCTCATCCAATTGACCAGTATCCACTGTCTATGGGACTTGAACCTGCAACATGAGGATTTAAAAAAAAAAAAAAAATTTTTTCAATTTCCTGTTTATCCCTAAAGTGAACTATCCCGATTAGTTAATCGAAAAAGGCTGAAACGTTTCGCCGAAAACATGGCTCGCCCTTCGATGGTCAATGAATCGGATATCATTTAGGCTCAATAACTTGAATCTGGTCTTCGAGACAAGAATGCTAAAATAAACTCCATGAAGCGGTCTTATTTTTGTCTTATTTATTAGTTTAATATGACACAAGTATGCATAGGAAAAACAGTGGTTAAGATTTATACCGACAATATTACATGTAACTGATATTCTTTTTTGAGAAAGTATTACTTATATGTTTAAGTTTTTTTCCGTGATGCACATATTTCATTTGCACATTTAGTCTTTCCTTTAAAAATCACTTTGAAAACCAGTCAAAACCAATTATAGAAGACGTTAGTTTGACACAAAAATGAAAAAAACATATCCAAGTTTCCTTTACATTTAATTTATTCTTAAAATTTCGTTAAAGCAAATGCGGTCGAAACCACTACTGCGAAATGTCGGCGTACACAAAAATTGTAAAGAAAAAGGAATGCTAAGAAAAATATCAACATTCAAAGCAAATTAGCTCTTTGCAATATAACGAGTGGGTCTTCGTTCTAAGTGATAAAAATGATTAAAAAATACTGAAAAACAAAAAAGTTAGAAAAAATTTTTTAAAATTTGCATCTCAAAAACCCTTACTTGAATTCTTAAATTATTGTGAGAAAGTCATGTCTATCATCTCCAACTCTCTCTATACTTAGCCATTCTTGAAATTGTGCCCACAAAATCGCATTTTAAACATGTATTTGGCCTTTTGATATCGGATATATCATCTTTATTGCAATCATGTTAGTGAAACATGTCATACTACAGACACATAAGTGTTTTGCTACATTACCATCTTAAAAATGGCTTTAAAAACATTTATACAATATAACTAGGTACCGGTACAGTTTTATTAAATAATCAAAATGTGTTTATAATAGTGATGAACAATCTCTATTGATTGACAATAAGTAAGTAGAACAATACTTTTATAAGAAACGCATAAGATTGTGTTGAGATTTTCATTCAAAAATTTCCATGGCAAGATTGTGAAGAACTATTTTGCCTCAATAGGAGTTTAAAATTCTCTGAAAGGTATATTAAACAAACAAATCTCTTTGAAAGTATTGCCCTATATATGAACAATTTGAATCCCCTACACTAAAGGATGCTGATTGTGCCAAGTTTCACAATGGCTCTGAGAAAATGAAATTGTGAAATTTTAGACGATGATAATTGATAAAATTTTGTTTTTGAAAAAAATTACTGGTACCTTTAGCTCAGATGGGCTTATAAGTATGCAACATGCATCGCATTGCAGAATCATAATATATATTGACTATGAAATTGTTGAGATAAACATTTCTTCAATCTTGTAATATATAAAAAATACATGCATGTACATGTCCTTTGTACTGAATTCCTTGGAATCATGCACATGTTTATGCCTTAGTCGTATATGCCAAAATAGCAGCTTTCCTTACATTATACTGTAAAATTACACATACATGTATTACAAGATTTTATATTGCTGCTGAAGACAGAGGATCTTTATCTTTACCATTAGAATAAGTAAGTGTAAAATTTCGAAACGGTAGACCTTGATAAAGAGGTCAACATGCAACACAAACAAAATATTCATTTTAAAAATAACATTTATTCCAATATACATATTTCTGTTACAAAATCTATTTCACTTGAAAAACTAAGAGCAATTGATATGTTCATATCAGCCCTTTTTTAATGTTAGTAATGGTAATGCATTGCAATGAATTTAAACACTTCATGTTCAAACTCAAAGTAATTTTTGCTAGTAATGTGTATTGCAAAAAATTTGCATTACATGTAATGGTTATGGTAATGCATTACTAAATAAAAAGTTGCATATTGTTTAGAACATTAATGCAATAATACTTATCAAAATATTTCTCATTTTTGGATATAAAGCATCAAAGTTTAAGCACATTGCATTACAAATTATGTAACAAATTATTATATATATGTACATTTTTGCTATCAGTTAAGAAATTAAAATTGACAGTTATTGATGGAAATTATTGTTTAGGTTTTTTTTTTATTGATTTATTTTCATTATTTTGCAAATGATAAAAATTCAATTAAAAAATTACCTACATGTATTTAAATAAAATTCCTGTATCTATATTTATTCTGTTAAAAGTACACTTACCTTACATTATTAAGTTTTCAAACTCAATATTTCAGATAAGAATTGATTTCATAGAATTATATAAAATAGTTTTAAAAGATCTTCTTTTTTTTTTTAAAAAGATCACATATGAGATACACTAATTAATGTACAGTGTAAACTGATAATTGACACCTTTTTAATATCTAGAGTGTCATCAAAACACACTACGCCTCTGGGTTTTGTAACAATTAAAACAATGTATTGGTTTGGATAAATGATAAATTGGCTGCAAATTTCATTAAATCGGTCGAATTTTTGGTAATTATCTACACAAAAATTGTCCGAAAGAAAAAGGAAGAAGAAAAATAACATTTTTTTGTTCGTTGCATTTCAACATTTTTTTGTTTTCATTTAGACATTTTTCAATTATATATGCAACACAAACAAAATATTCATTTAAAAATAACATTTATTCCAATAAAAATTTAAATAAATCTATTTCAGTAACTTGGACATATTGATATGTGTCACTGACATTTAATTTAGTGCACATTAAATGTGGTGAAACAGTTTAATACCCATTGAACTCTTTATCTAGACTTAGTGCTACATGTATGCACATATGTATACATATAGATATTTTTCTTTTTATTCTTATCAGTATTTTGGTATAGATACTTTTAAAATTCCATTTTCTTTTACTTAGAAAACATTGAATTACCGCACAGGTAAATTCCGGAAATGAAAAAAAAATATGTCGGAAATGAAAACAAAAAATGTCGGAAATGAAATAAAAAAATGTCGGAAATGCTATGCATATTTCCGGAAATGAAATGCAGCGTTCAAATTACCAGTCCCTTTCTTCTGGCTATGTTTACAAAACATTAATTAAGCTGGTCTGCTAGCTTGTACTGACCATGAAAATTTCATTGTTACCAAAGAAAATAGAAGGCATGCAGGCATTATATGATTAGCAGATCAAAATGAACATCCTGTCTACTTTTTCAAAAAGTTTATCAATGCATTCATTTTTTTCATAAGGTACTAATCAAAATAGCCTATATGCTTTATTATTAGATACTTTCAGCAGCTAGGGCTTAAAGACTTAAAGTGCCCCAAAAGTTAAATTGCTTCTTGATATCAATAGTTAAACAAAAAGTGAATATGGCACATGTGTTGTATAACTAACAATTTAAAAGTCTGAACTTTCTGTGAATGCAAGTTTTTGACGATGTATACAAAAATTTGAAATCAAATTTGAATTATTATTTATCATGTTTAGTTTAGAAGGGGGTGGATACATACTTATGGGGAAAAAAATCACAAAGTTTTGTATAAATTTCAAGGTTTATAAAACCTCCAAAAGTAATGGTAATGGTAATGCATTACTTTAGTAAAGTAATGGTAATGCAATGCATTACTTTAAGAAAATAGTGTAATGGTAATGGTAATTTAATGCCCAAATTGTTGAAGTAATAGTAATGTAATGCATTACTTTACAATGTAATTCGCCCCAAGCCTGGTTCATATTTGTGGATTTATGTTGTCAAATCAAAATTTAAAAATGATAATAATGTGTATTTAAAAGTAAAGTCTTCATGAACCAAAACTTGACTGTTTTAATTTCACTATGCTGTTAAAATATTCCTTGTCATATCCCAACAGATGCTCTTCTGGAAGGTCATGGTCATGCTTGGTATCAAATTTCAGTACTCAAATGAGTCACACCTTATAATCCATAAAAAATTGAAATTTTAGTTTAATTTATAATTCTTTGACTAATAAAAAGTGCAATTAATGAGATAATTAGACTATCAAATTGAGTTCAAAGATATTGTCACATTTTCTGTGTATATGATTTGTAAAAGTACTCTTTTATCCATTAAAAGAAGTTTACACTAATTCAGGCAGTCATTTATGCTAGCCCTTTTAAGATAACATACTAGCACAAAGTAATAATGCACTACCAGGTTTAGGATAATGTGCTAGTGCATTTATGACAACATGCTGGCACAAGCTGACAATGTGCTAGCACGTTAGTAACAATATGCCGGTGTAGCATAATATTTTGATACCGCGAAATATTGAACCCGGGTTCAATATATCGCATATTATTTTGAACCCGGGTTCACTTTGTCGCTGCGATATATTGAACCCCGTTATAATATATTGAACCCCTACCTTTTTCATTGAAGAGGGAGGGGGTTCAAAATATTATGGCCATAAAATATTGAACCCTCTGCCCTATTAATTTATCAAAGATATATTGAACCCCTACCTTTTTCATTGAAGAGGGAGGGGGTTCAAAATATTATGGCCATAAAATATTGAGTCCCCCTGCCCATTTAATGTAAGAGGGAGGGGGTTCAAAATATTATGGCCATAAATATTGAGTCCCCCTGCCCTTTTGATTTATGAAAGAGGGGGTTCAAAACATTATGGCCATAAATTATTGAGTCCCCCTGCCCTTTTCATTAAGAGGGAGGGGGGTTCAAAATATTATTGCCATAAAATATTGAGTCTCCCTGCCCTTTTAATTTTATAGGGAGG